AAGCCCTCGAGAACAGTGGTGAAGCACTTGCTGTTTCCCTCGATGTTTCGAAGGCCTTTGACAGGGTTTGGCATGCTAATCTATTGGGCAAACTTTCAGCGTACGGCTTACCCCTGGCCTGATTGCCTGGGTGAAGGACTTTTTGAGTGAACGGTCTCACCGGGCCGTCGTCGATGGCTACTCATCTGGTACTATGGCGACTAACGCCGGTGTTCCTCAGGGGTCCGTTCTCTCCGCAACTTTCTTCCTGCTGCATATAAATGATCTACTCAATCCCGGTATCTATGGGTATGCAGATGACAGCACAGTTGTGGAGAGATACAATCGGGATCAAATCCAGTAAGAAAGAGAGGCTATGGTTGAGCGTGTGAGTCTCACACTACAGGCAGTCTCCGATTGGGGCAGTGCCAATCTCGTGAGACTTAACACCTCCAAAACACAAGCGTGTCTTTTTACCGCTAAAAGGAGTCCGCTGACCTTGACTCCTACTCTCCGGAATGTATCCTTGGAGTACACTCACCGCCTTCAGTTGTTAGGGATTGAATTTTCTCCGAATCTAAACTATGGGCGATTCATTGAATCCATAACCCAAGCATCCGCTAGGAAACTTGGTGTGGTTGCAAGGGTGCGGCGGTACTTCACGCCGGGGCAGCTTCTTACCCTATATAAAGTCCGGTCGTGCATGGAGTACTGCTGTCACATATGGGCTGGTGCTTCAAAATGCCACCTGGCAGCATTGGACTCAGTGGAGAAACGTGCTAAGAGGTTCACATTGGTGACCTTGATTTGGTTGTAACCAATCTTGTCAGCCTCGAGCCTAGGCGCAGAGTAGGCAGTCTTTCGGTATTCTATAGGATGCATTTCGGTGAGTGTGCGCAGGAATTACACGCTTTAATTCCTCCCTCTCCTTTTCACCATCGGACAACCAGGCGGTCGGCGGGTCTTCATCCCTTTGTTGTCGATATTCCACGCATTAGAACCAAACGGTTTGCTTCATGTTTTGTAATACGTACAGCAAAGGAGTGGAATAATTTGCCAACGTTAATCTTTTCGTCCGAATACAATCTGGGCGTCTTCAAGGCAAGAGTGAATAGGCTTTTGTTACGATAAGACAGTGCGATTTACCATCTAAGGCTACATCACCACTTACCACCAGGTGGGATTGTGGTCAAGCACTGGCTTATAATAAGTAAAAAAAATATTATATAACCCATTGGTTGCAATAGTCACTTACCAACCATCAGGTGAACTGTAACTTCGTTTGTCACTTCAGTTTTATAATAAAATACTCACTTTTTTTTAACCGTAGTCTTTACCGTTACAATATATTCTGTCTACAGTCCATTGCTGAACATAGCTGAATCAATGGATGCAGGTGCTTTATACCATTGTTCAAAGAAGGCCTTTGTGTTTAGCAGTAAACTTGTGAGTGGAATAGTGATGATGATGATGATATGTTCTTAAATTACACATACACAAATCTTAGGTTCAGTTTCATAATAAATGTAGAGGTTGATTTTAAAAAGTTTTATTTATAATAATTAATTACAATATGCATAATATGTAATTCGTAGCAACTAATTACACCAAAACACATATCACAATAATCATCAGGAAGAGATCCTAACTATCAGTAATCTGACGACATATACGAAAGTAAATCTATTATATACATAGATATTTTAGAGGAATTCATAAGGCAAGAAAATAATGACATTGCCACTCTTAATAAATCAACAAACAAAAAAAGGGAATTAATTACTTATTGGTGACGGGGAATAATCCTTAAAATTAATTTAAAATACACCTTAATAACTACATAATTGAACTCATTCTACAACAATACATTCTTGGTAAAACTAGTGTCTATTATAGTAACTTTTATTTCAATGAAACTTTTAAAATGTCCTTTTCTACAATTCTACACTAGGACATAGCTAATATCTACATACATATCGCCGACAATTGATCGCAAATGTCATTAAAATTGTAAATTCTATTTCATAATTCCAGTTATAATAATGGAATTTAGTCTAACCTATATTGTCATCTGAAAACAAATGTCAATAGAAATATTATAATCTATCTTTATAATCAAGTTAAAATATCAAGTAGGTCTGTGCTAATGGCGGCTGATTTTAAGGGGCCGCATTTAAAATAAATATTTCAGTATTTAATTTTCTGAAAATATTAGAGATAATCTGCACACAAACACTTGCCAAAGGTGAAAAAAGTTTTTTAATAAAATAATGTCGAAGATTTTCACTAATTGCACACCTCGCACCTCTTGATAAAGAGTAATTGTGTTCTGTGCCTCGCACGTGAAACGGGAAAGCTTGGGCTTTTACGTCGACTTGACAAGGTCATGCTACCCACTCTCGTTTGGTATATTATTTTATATTTTTTACGCTTGCAATTTTCGCCCCTAGCCACGGCCAGTCAACCATGCTCAGTCACCGTATGAATATTTATTACTTATTGGTGTCTAATCTCATAGAAGAATAACGCATAGTAAACAAGCAACCTCAATTGAGGCAATTTGAGTAAGCCTTACTAAATGGTTTTCATCTAGATCTAGAGCAAAAAACCAAGATAGACAACATTACATACCGTCATTTTCCAATACACATTAATAAATAACATTTTACCGCAATAATAATATAAACCTTAACACTTCTATAGCTTCTATAATATGTGACCGATTGTGTTTGTGTGTGTGTGTGTGTGTTTTTTTTGCTAATTCTATGTAATTGACTTCGGCATAAAACCGTATATTTCAAGTGACTAAAAAGGTTTAAAACCAGGTGCAAAAATCAACCTACATAAATAGGTGCATGATGCACCTGTTTATTAAATGTTTGTGAGTGGTGTTCTGTTTAACCTCCGGCGAAAACAGAGGAGTGTTATAAGTTTGTAGTGTGTATCTGTGTGTCTTTGTGTGTGTGTGTGTGCGTGTGCGTGTGTGTGTGTGTGTGTGTGTGTGTGTGTGTGTGTGTGTGTGTGTGTGTGTGTGTGTGTGTGTGTGTATGTCTGTCTGTGGCATCATAGCTCCTGAACGGATGAACCGATTTTGACTAAGTTTTTTAATTAGTAGATTTATTATTTAATTGTTTGAAAGGTGTCTTAATCGAGTGTTCTTAACTGCATATATTTAAAAAAAAATCTGTGTAGCCATTTGAAAATCGACAGCTCTTTTTGCTTCGGGGGTTTTTTTAAATTTTAATTTAAGTTATTACATAAGTTGAGCACACTCACAAACACACGCGCGGAAACTGTGTAATGTTGTCTATCTTGCTACGTTGGTCTGAGGATCTTGTGCTCAAAATTATTTGGTACATAACAATTTAGACAAACCTTTTGTTATCTAAACAAACTATAACATTAAATGTACCCATTTTTTTAATTATTTACACTTTTAAACTTAAATAATTCATTAATTTTATCACAAATAATAAACATACGTATTTATCTACATATACAGGGCTATTTTTCAAAGAGTAGTTAAATTTTAAACTTAAGTTCAAATATATAAATAATGATATACCGTTATTGCAGTTTTTGGAAATACGAGTAAATAAGTCTTTTATTTGAAATTATCCCAAATTAAGGTGAAAGCTCCAGGGTGGCCCGCGAAATTCAAATTTTCTTACGTTTTTTGGACTTTGGTTAGGTCAGGGTCAGGTTGAATGTTTAACAAAATATGATTCACGACCGTAACGAGTATGTGTTTACAGAATTATTATCATTAAAATCACCAATACAACCCTCCAAGTTCATATAATTCTTTTGAATGAGTTTTTCTGGAAATAGCCTATACGAACTTAGGGGGTTCTATTGATGATTATAACGATTATAATTCTGTAAATACATATTCGTCACGGTCGCGAATCACATTTTATTAAACATACAACCTGACACTGACCTACAAATTCAAAAAAAGTAAGAAAATTTCAATTTCGCGGCCTACTCTGGAGCTTTCACCTTAACTGTGATTTATTGTCAGCAACGTTTTGTATACCTTACGAATGTGTGCGTGCGCAGTAAAATCAATTAAATAATGCATTACCACTGATTTTGAATTTAAAAGATAAAAAGGACAAAATGTTTGAGATTTTTTTCCTTCCTGCTAATTAAGCTGGTTATAGCAAAATAACCCTGTATATATACATATTTATTTTCTTATACTCTAAGTAACTGCTATATACATACACTCAAGTCAAGTCTTAAAGTATAATGAAAGTGTCGATAATATAAATTAAATTAAATTTGCAGTATACTTCTACTTATTATGTTATACATATAAAACATCTACCAGTAGGTATAATGTTTGTTCATTTAATATTTAAAAGGAATAATAACTTTCAAACTAATTTCACAGTAGAAATCGATTTTATTTCATTTTCATTTTGAAAACTGAAATACTATTTCATTTTTTTTATCTTACTTTTTATTTGTTTTATTACAATGTTATCGATTTTAACAACTATAGCAAATCACGGGTTTATAAGCATTAAAAAACTACTTTGTTAAACGCAATAAGTTGCAGTTATAAGTATAAAGTATTGTGACAAATTAATTTCAATATTAATACCCTCAGACCTCTGACTACAGAATTTGTTAATTTCTGTTTGTCAATGACGAAAAAAAATCATAAATACATAATTACACACATTTATATTTTTTTTAAACAATAGCAACATTTCTACGTCAAATTTCAAAAACTTTGATCAAACTCGTATGATACTCGCTATAGGCATTGGTTGAACACCTTTTCATATTTATTCTGTTTGTTTGTAATATTTGTATATTTCACGAAACTGGCCAAGCGAGTAATATTTATTTTATTAAATTATTAAAAGTAAGAGTAAGAAAGATTATTTATCCTATTAGAAACTTTTCTTACTACTCTGGAATTTTCCTTTGGATCGCTTAGGAAGTGCGCTTCTTACTAATGTGCTAATACCACAGAGTAAAGATATATTTTAAATAATTTATTGTTATTATTCTATGGGTTTCCAACAAACAATAACTCTCATATCGTCGGAAGCTTTGCCAAAGATCCTGTCCCCATTGGGGTCGATGTACTCGTTTATTTGATAGTCCAGCAGAGTTTGGAAGCCAAGGACGTCGGTGCCTAGTTGCTGTGAACAATACAGTTATAGTACAGTACATATTCAATTGTCAAGTTATTTTTACAATAAGTTACAAATGAAGCATTTTTTATTTTACAATTAATAATGACGTAAATCCGTCCCTGGCTACAAATAAATGTAATGATAAAATTGTATGGTGGTTATTTTTTTAAGCATATTATTTTTTTTAAAAATTGGGGTTAGAGTAGTATTTTTTTATCATCATCATCATCATTACAGCCCTTCACAAGTCCACTGCTGAACATAGGCCTCCCCCAAGGAATGCCACAAAGCACGGTCCTGAGCCACCTGCATACATCGTCTTCCTGCATGTCTTACCAGGTCGTCACTCCATCTAGTGGGGGGTCGCCCTACACTTCGCCTATTAATTAAGATTAATTGAGTGAGGTTGGTAGTTGGAAATGCTAATTTTTTATATTAAAATAATATATAAAACCCTAGCAAAAGTTAAAGAAAGTTTCTATATTGTTAGATAGTTAGATTTTTGTTTGTGGTAGTAAATCAATAAAAATACTGGCCAAATTAAACAATCTTGTGAGGAATATTAAATATTTTTTAAATTTTTTCAAAATACCTGCGTCAGTGGACTTGTGTTGGTGGTAAAAACTCCGTGAAATCTCCTATCACGTGCGATCCTCATTGTTGCGTGTTCCAAAGCCCGTATAGCTGCAACATTGTCCCGAGGACTCAATGACGCTGCAGTTGCCATCATAAATGAGTGCAGGATTGTTCCTGAAATGATAAACATACGTAGGTATTAGCATTCAGTTTTGTTTCTTCACCAGCGAATGTCCATAACTTGATGTTTATGCGACTTAGAATTTATGTTATTGCCGTTCGCTAAACCAGACAATCATGATCAGTCAATGATTATTATATGGAATAGCATATATAATATAGGTAGCTCAAGTTGTGGACTAAAATATAATATACTCAATGAATTGAAATATTTTATTAATGGAATGATAAGTTATACAAAAAAAAAAAACAATTTAAATTGGCTTCTATCACTCCAATGTTACCATTCTTCTAATAAAAAAATTAAAAAAAAAGCTTCTATTTATAAAGCAAACCTCTTTTACAGATTTTTCATTTATTTATTCATTGTAACCTATCTAAAGTCCACTCCTGAACATAGGCCTCCATTATAGATTGCCTCATAGGCATATTTGCTATAGGTAACATTTCCTGCATGGTTGGCAGGCAGGTTAGCAAGCGCATTTTTTTAAATATTTTGAGAAAAAGGATGATGCTGTTGCCCATCATCTGTTTCAGTTTCTCTCTGTCGCATTTTACGACATCCACGTGATTATATAGTGTAGTGGATTTTCTTACGTCGCCATTATACGTCTGCTCTTTACTGTTCTATTATATGTATGTAAGGGTTAGCGGTTAAAGGAGAAATATGAATATCAGCTTTTCCAACTACCAACCTCACTCAATTAACCAACTAGAATGGGTCGACTGGTTGATGGCATGCAAACCAAATATCCCGAACCTAAGTCTCTCAATGTGCTGGGGAGCATCGATGCCATTGCCCTGTGTGAGGGTATCGGGATACGTTCACAAGTCCATCTGTCCAGCTTGGTGATTTTGGCAAATACTGAATGAGTAATAGGATTAATAGGAGTGATGAATTGAGTAATAGGAGTAGGACGCAAATATGAAAGCTTCAGGTTGACATATAAAAGATTATTAACCGACGAGAAGCGTCTACAATATTTATATTAAGAACCGTTTTTAACAGTGGTAGAGCCACGCGGCAGCTTTTGCTGTCGCACGGATGGGCCGGCTCGAACCGGGGTGGTACCACGACCTCACAGAAAACCAGCGTGAAGTAGAGATTTACCTCTGCGTTTCGCTTGGTGAGTGCAGGTGGCCGGAGGCCCTTTTTACTGGAAATGAGGCATTCCATCTTAGTCCTTACGGGTGACAACGACATCTACATTTTGATTTGTAATAGAGGATGATGTAGATGTCTATGGGCCGCAGCAACCACTTACAATCAGGTGAACTGTGTGCTCGTTTGTCACCCTTATCCTATAAAAAAAAAACTCTATATCCGGCTCGAGGGACCAAAACATGTTAAGGGAATATATCAAATTTTTTGATGGCAAATAAATCTAAAAAAAAACTATTGGTGAATCCAATGGAGCATGACTTAAGCGCATTAAAAAAATTACGTATAACACGATTATACGTAATTTTTTAATAACACACAAGTTTTCACTAATAACCTTATAGTAAATACTTCCAATATTCCGATAATTTTATGTCAAACTTCAATTAAAAAAAAGTTTGCTAAATCCAAAGTGCACGACTCATAATGCTCATATGATAATCCAAAAAATTAAAATAAAATGTAAGTTGTAGTTCCATTCGTCAAAGAGTTCCAGTAGCAGTCAGCGAAGTACACCTTCAAGCCCGGAGGTAAGGTCTCATCATAACTAACACAATGAGCCCAAAATTGGCACACCTATTACTACATGTCGAGGAGTTCCAGTAGCAGTCATCGAAGTACACCTTCAGATCACTCTTTCAAGTCCGGAGGTAAGGTCTCATCGTAACTAACAAAAGGAGGCCAAACTCGGCACACCTATTTCTACTGTTCGAGGAGTTCCAGTAGCATTCATCGAAGTAAACTTTCAGGTCACTCTATCGAGTCCGGAGCAGAGGCGCATTAAATTTCGACTGCACCCTAAGCTGGCCTAGCACCAATATAAAAAATATGTGTTTATTTTTATTTTTAACCTGCTAACTGGTGTGTATAAAAAAACATTTCCCGTTTTGACTTTTGAGTGAAAAAATAAATGGTCAGTTTACGTATGGGTAAATCATCCAAGGAATATACGCCAGCTGGTTCATTCATTCTTCAAAAAGGCGATTTTATTAACTCTTAAAACCACTAGTTATTTTATAATTAAAAATTAAAAATTTTGTACAACCGACTTCAATATAAATTATTAAGAATAACTCAAAAACTATTGGTCAGACCTTGATCAAATTTATATGGGACCACATGAGAAGCACGAGCTTTCAAATAAAACAGAGTCATCAACATTGGTTCACCCAGAAAAAAGTTATGAGGTAACACACATAAAAAAAACATACAGTCGAATTGAGTACCGTCTCCTTTTTGAAGTTGGTAGAAAAGTAGACACTAAATGTATTAAAATTATGTTTATTAAGACTGTTACTTACCCTTTCCTTCAGGCAACATGGTGTCCCTCACAGAACTTTCAACAAATTCAAGAAAGCCCATGATTTTGGCTAGACCTCCTTTCAGTTCAATCTCCGGCTCGTCCCGTGCGTCAAAATTCAACGCTACGGCCACTGGTGTTCCGGAAACTGAGGAGACAAATAATTTAGAATGATTTATTTGTATTTTTTTTCTATATAAATAATTTTAAGCAACTGTAACTCAAAGACGTGGTTAGTCTTTTTGAAAGTCAAAGTCAAAGACAAATACTGTAATGTAAACATTTTATTTTTTCTGCATTTAAAAGCAATTTTTTTGCAAAATATTATAATACCTAATGCATATAATTAAATAACAATCATAATGTAATGTATTTCGAGATAATCAAAAGTCCGCTGCTAGAGCAACGGAACTCTTTCTTGTCCTATAAGCCCCTGATCTCTTTTAGTAGTGTTCTCCCATATCTACCCATGGATTGTTACTGGTGCACAGGTGAGACGTACTTTTTATTCAAGTAATTTAACCTCATTTATTTAATTTCATACGCAAGAGTATATTCTTTTTAGAATTACTGTAAGTTATTTATAACAATTAAAATTTTATTTTATTTCTAACGTATTTTAGTTTATTTTATATTTAACGTTACTTACGATCTTCTAGAACAACGCTAAGTCTCGCTTGCAACAGTGCAGACCAGCAGGCTCTTACGCAGAGCGCGTAGTCGTCCTTCGCGATCTCGTGCTTCAAGAACTGCTCCAGTTCGGCTTTCTCATAGAACGACGACACTATCATACTGCAAATTAACAATTAAAGTTAAACTTACAACATATATACGTCCGACTGCTGGGCATAGGCCTCCTCTCATTTCTGATAGGGTTTTAGGGCAAGGAAATGTCCGCCGCGCGACGCAGCCCTAAAGCGTGTTGGCGAACTTCACATGTCTTCGAAATATTTTTTTCTTATTTCTCAGACATGCAGATTTCCTCACGATGTTTTACTTCACCGCCGAGTAAATTAGTACTTAAAATTGCATTTAATAATTTCACTGGGAACGGCGGGGATCGTACCCAGATTGGTCGCGTATTGTCAAATTTACAGCGAGTGTTAAGCCCCTGAGCTTCCACGGCTCTTAAAATTGAATTACTCAAAATCAATTGACAATTGATCAGCGGTGAAGAAAAACATCTGGAGGACAACTGCACGTCTGTGAAGTCATAAATATTACGACATGTGAAATTAGCGAACACGCATTCGAGTAGCTCGTTGGCAGATTAAACGTGGTAGAGCCATGCTGCAGCTATATTATGGTTGTAGCACGAATGGGTCGGCTCGACCGGGGAAGGACCACGCTCTCACAGAATACCAGCGTCAAATAGCAGCTTAACGCTACTGTGTTTCGTATGGTGAGTGTAGAGAACTGGAGACCCTTTTTACGGGAAACGAGGCATTCCATCTTAGTCCTCACGGGTGACAACGCATCTGCATTTTCATTCGTAATCGAAGATAGGTGTAGATGTCTATGGGCCACAGCAACCACTTACCATCAGGTGGACTGTGTGCTCGTTTGTCACCCTTATCCTATATAAAAAAAAGATTAGCTTATGAGTTTTTTTTTAAATTCCCGCTTTAAAAATTAATAATTATCAAAAGTAGGAGGTTATAGATTTCGGTCCGATTTTGAGAATGCGAGTATTCTTTTTTTTATAGGAGAGGGGGCAAACGAGCATGCGGCTCACCTGATGGTAAGTGACTACCGCCGCCCATGAACAACTGCAACACCAGGGGAATCGCAGATGCGTTGCCGGCCTTTTAAAAAGGAGTACGCTCTTTTCTTGAAGGTCCCTAAGTCGTATCGGTCCGGAAAAATCGCTGATGGTAATCGATTCCACAAGGAGGTCGTGCGAGGAAGAAAACATCTTCTAAATCGCACAGTGGTGGACCGCCAATCATCCAGATGGTGTGGATGGTATCGGGAGTTCTGCCGCGATGTGCGTTCGTGAAATTTGGCGGCTGGGATTAATCCGAACAATTCCTCAGAGCACTCCCCATGGTAGATGCGAAAGAAAATGCAAAGGGATGCAACATCTCTTCGCAGTGCCAATGAATCGAGCCGATCGGAAAGGGCTCGGTCGTCGACAATTCGAGCCGCTCTGCGTTGGATGCGGTCAAGTGGAAGGAGCTGGCACTGGGGAGCCCCTGCCCAGAGATGGGAACAGTATTCCATGTGAGGCCGAACTTGCACCTTGTAAAGTAGCAGGCGGTGTGCCGGCATGAAATACTGTCCCGCTCTGCTGAGCACGCCAAGCTTTTTAGAGGCCAATTTGGCCTTCCCTTCCAAGTGACCACGAAACTGCACGTCACTCGATATGTCGACTCCGAGGATACCGATACTGGCTGAGGCAAGAAGGGGAGTGCCTTGAAACTGAGGAGATACGACAAAGGGGTTCTTTTTAGCGGTAAACGCGCAAACTTGTGTCTTCTGAGGATTAAATTGGACTAGATTTAGTCGCCCCCAATCCGAGACTTTGTTCAGCAAAGACTCGACTTCAGACACAAGTTTGTTCCGGTACTCAGCGACGTTTTCCCGAGAAATATTGGCACGGCCGGTGTATAGAGCATCACCAGTGCTGTCATCCGCATAGCAATGAATGTTACCAGTTAGCAACATATCATTGATATGCAGAAGAAACAGCGTTGGTGATAGCACACAGCCTTGTGGAACACCAGCGTTAATAGGCTTGTAGTCAGAGCATGCACCGTCTACAACGACCTTGATGCTCCGATCTACAAGGAAGCTGGTGATCCAATTGCACAATTTCTCGGGAAGCCCATAGGAAGGGAGCTTCGAAAGAAGCGCTTTGTGCCAAACCCGATCGAAGGCCTTCGCAATGTCCAGACTAACGGCCAACGCCTCCCCCTTGGACTCTACTGCCTCCGCCCATCTATGGGTCAGGTAGACCAGAAGATCACCAGCTGATCGACCCCGACGAAAACCGTATTGGCGGTCACCTAATCAGCTGGTGATCCTCAAGGTACCGGATGAGCTGGCAGTTAATAATGGATTCCATTATTTTGGAGAACAAGGAGGTGATCGCGATAGGCCTATAGTTGGATGGGTCTGAGCGGTCGCCTTTTTTAGGGATCGGGTGGACAAAAGCTGTCTTCCATGAATTCGGGACTACGCCTTGGGAGTAGGAGTATCGGAAAAGACGCGTTAGGACCGGTGCCAACTCCGGAGCACACGTCCTCAGCACAATTGGGGGGGTTCCGTCAGGCCCACTCGACTTCTGGATGTCCAGGGAGAGTAGTGCTTTGCGAACCGAGCGCTGTGAGAACAGCACATCCGGCATGGAGCACTCACACCGCGGGATGGTCGGCGGTGTTTTCCCCCCGTCATCAAGAGTCGAGTTGGACGCAAAAAGGGAGCCTAAAAGGTCGGCTTTGTCTTTTGCGTCATGGGCCAGTGAGTCATCCTCCCTGTGCAGAGATGGTAGTGATGGCTTACAGAAATTCCCTTGGACAGCCTTGGCGAGAGACCAGAATGCACGGGTTCCCGAAGGAAGGCGAACTAGTTTCTCGCCAATTCTGCCTATGTGCTCTGACTTTGCCTTGGCAATAACTCTTTTGAAGGACCTGGAGGCGAAGTTATACTTCTTTTTAAGTGTGCTGGTATTTACATCCCGAGTCGCCGAAGCCGCAGCCCAGGCTTGATAACACTCCTGCTTACTGCGTAATGTAGTCTTACAGGAGCGACCAAACCAAGGCTGAGATCTGCCTCCGATGGGTACCACAGATGATGGAATAAATAGTTCCATTCCCTGTAGCACCACATCAGTGACAGAGTCAGCAACAGCGCTGGGATCATCCGGCGAGAAGCAAACCCGCCCCCATGGGTAGGATGCAAAGAAGGACCGCATTCCGTCCCAATCCGCCGACCTGTAATGCCAAACACGGAATGCAACCTGCAGAACGCAACCGCGAAGGGAGCGTGAGTGGCACCACACTCCGGATCAGACAATGGTCCGAAGAGCCGAGAGGGGCATCGACGGAAACCAGATATCCGTCCGGATGAGAGGTCAGCAGAAGGTCCAACAGGGAAGGTGTATGATCCTCCACATCTGGAATCCGCGTAGGCGAAGTAACCAGTTGTGTCAGACCATATGCCAAGGCAAAGTCATAAACAGATCTCCCCGCATGATCGGTTAGACGTGAACCGAGCCATTCGGCATGGTGGGCGTTAAAATCGCCAAGGATCACGATCTCTGCGGATGGGACCTGTTGTAGCAAGAAATCTGTAGCCATTTGGACGTGGTCGATGAGTCGGTCTGTTTCGGCATTACCGCTATGGGACCTATAGAGGCACCCGTAGACGCGCGGATGGTCGTCGCTGTCTACGCGTAGCCAAAGGATGGAAAACTACTGCCGACCATGAACAATTGCAACACCAGGGGAATTGCAGATGCATTGCCGGCCTTTTAAAAAGAGTAGAGTCTTTTATTGAAGATCCCTTAGTGGTATCGGTACGGAAAATTCTCTGGTGGTAGTCCATTCCACAAGGAAGTTGTGCGAGGAAGAAAACTTCTTTTAAGTCGCGCAGTGGTCGACCCCAATCAACCAGATGGTATGGATGGTATCCCGAGCATTGTCGCGTCGTGCGATATTGAAATTGAGCGGCTGGAATTAGTCCGAACAATTCTACAGAGCACTACAGAAATGCAACATCTCTTCGCAGCGCCAGTGAATCGAGCCGATCGGAAAGAACTCAGTCGTCGACGATTCGAGCCGCTCTGCGATGGATGCGGTTAAGTGGAAGGAGCTGGCACTGGGGACCCCAGTCCAGAGATGGGCTGGGGTCCCCAGTCTTAACAGTATTCCATGTGAGGCTGAACCTGCGCCTTATAAAGTTGCAGGCGGTGTGCCGGCATGAAATACTGTCCCGCTCTGCTGAGCACGCCAAGCTTTTTAGAAGCCAATTTGGCCTTCTCTTCCTGGTAACCACGAAACTGCACGTCACTCCATATGTCGACGCCGAGGATTCCGATACTGGCGGCAACAAGGGGAGTGCCTTGAAACTGAGGAGATACGACAAAGGGGTTCTTTTTAGCGGTAAACGCACAAACGTATGTCTACTGAGGATTAAACTGGCCTAGATTTAGTCGCCCTCAATTCGAGACCCGCATGATCGGTTAAACGAGAACCGAGCCATTCGGTGCGGTGGGCGTTAAAATCGTCAAGTATCATGATTTCTACGGATGGGATCTTTGTAACAAAAAGTCTGTAGCCATTATGACGAGGTCGATGAGTCGGTCTGTGTCGGCATTACCGTTATGGCACCTATACAGTCACACGTAGACGCGGGGATGGTGGTCGCTGTCTACACGCAGCCAAAGGATGGATATTTTCCTACCTTCAAGACTGCTGAGGTGTCGAGAACAGATATCCTCTCTGACGTATACTCAAACTCCAACCCGGAGTACAAAGAAGTGTTCTAGTTTGTACCCCAGGCAGAACAGCTACGAAGTATCAGCCCTAGAGGACACCTGCGTCTCGGTCAAAAAGAGCAAGCCTGGCTTTGCTGTCTCTAGATGGTAGTGGATTGCGTTAAGGTTCGAGTGAAGTCCCCTGATGTTGCAGAAGTCCACGGATAGCATGGCAGGGGTCGCCATGGTTTCATAGCTCCGTTTGCTCCGTGCAGTGTTAGTATAGAGCGGGATTTTGCCCCCCCCCCCCCCCCCAGTCCAGAATATGCGTTGCAGTCTGAGCACCAACGCTCAGAGGGTAGCTTGACCGTGGATGTTCAGTGAGGGATTTTCCAATACCATGGGTGCTGGTACTCTCTTGGGCTAGTCTTTTTTTAATTCCGCTACCATTTTATGGGGGGGGGGGGGGATTTGGCCTCCGGCCACCAGCAATAACCAAGCGAAACGCAGAAGCAAAGCTTCTACTTTACGTTGGTATTATATATACTAGACGTCCGGCTGTGTGTGTTTGTAAAAAAAATGTTGTAGTACGATATCTTTAGAACGGATTAACGGATCGAGATGGGCGTCTTCGAGTTGATTAGATTTTCAAGTCAATCGTCGAGCCGTTTCAAAGATTTTCAAAAAATAAAAAACAAAAAACTAAACTTAAATAGATTTTAAGAATAAATTATAAGCGGGAAGTTCAAGAAGGGACCTGCAGGTTGTTTTAATTGATTACACCACTTTGACAATACATATTTACTAGATAATAAGACTACATTTCTGCTTAAGGCGATACCCCGACCAAAACCTAGCGATAGTGCGTTTTTCTTCGTTATACATAGACTCATTAGTTATTAGAAATAAACGACATCTAAAAGCACATTATTAATGTTCGATATCCTATCATCACATTCCATGTTCTAATTTGTTTTTATCATTTAAAATCTACTTTTAAAAAATTACTAAAATTATTGATTACATGTATCTGTTGTTAAAGGCAACGCTCTAATCATTTGAGGATTACACTAATGGATAGATAATTTAAAAATCTATATTATTCACGTTTCATTTAATTTTTAAATTTCCCTTTTCTTTTTTAATTAAAATGAATTCCAAAAGTTGTGTGAATTCTATGATAAATGAGCGTACGCAGAGTGTGGGCGGCAGTGCACTGCATGCTCAAGGTTATTTGGTCAGGGAAACGCCTTAAGAATCCGTCTGTGTAGGTACCACTCTCTTACCTATTTCTGACGACAATTAGCAGTGCTTGCTACGTTCCAGTGTGAAGGTTATAGAGAGCCAGCATAATTACAGGCTGAGGCATCATTCCATCTTAATCTTTTTATGATTAGGTGCTGGCTTGTGACAATAACTTATATAAAATTAAAAATTTTGTACAGCCGACTTCAATATAAGTTATTTAAGAATAACTCAAAAACTATTAGTCTGACCTTGATCAAATTTATGATATAACAAATATATGGGACCACACGAGAACTATCAACTTTCATATAAAAAAAGAATCATCGAAATCGGTTCACCCAGTACAAAGTTATGAGGTAACACACATAAAAAAAAAAACAAAAAAATACAGTCGAATTCAGTACCGTCTCCTTTTTGGAAGTCGGCAGAAAATCTGACTCAAAGAGGAGACGGTACTCAATTCGACTGTATGTTTTTTTATGTGTGCTACCTCATAACTTTGTACTGGGTGAACCGATTTCGATGATTCTTTTTTTATTTGAAAGCTGGTGCTTCACATGGGGTCTCATATAAATTTGATCAAGGTCTTGTAATAGTTTTTGAGTTATTCTTAATAATTTATATTGAAGTTGGTTGGACAAATTTTTTTATTTTAAATTATTAGACATACAATTTGAAAGAAGTACTTACTCAATAACTTGCTGTTCATGATCTTCTCTCATTGGTACAGCTTTAAACTTGCTCTCGTGGTTCTCAGTGGCGTCGTCCGGACCGTTGCTCAAGTGAGACAAAACATCTCCAAGATTCGCAGCACCAAGGAAGTCGCTGATTTCTGAGATAATTTTAATGTCATAATAATTGTGTGTGTGCGCAGGAATCACATGACTTACTCTTAGACGAGATTTGTACGTGGTAGAGACATGGGTCGACTAGACCAGGGAAGGACCATGCTCTCACAGAATACCAGCGATAAATAGCAGCTTAATGCTGCTGTACTTCGAATGGTTAAAGGCCGGCAACACATCTGCAATTCCTCTGGTGTTGCAGTTGTTCATGGGCGGCGGTAGTCATATACCATCAGGTGAGCCGCATGCTCGTTTGCCCCTTCTCCTATAAAAAATGTTAAGTATAGAGAACTGGAGACCCCTTTTACTTGGAACGAGCTATTCCATCTTAGTCCTCGGGGGTGACAACGCATCTGCATTTTGATTTTTAATCGAAGTTAGATTTAGATGTCTATGGGTCACAGTATCTACTTACCATCAGATGGACTGTCTGATCTATTGTCACCCTAATCCTATAAGAAAAGAGTGCGAGGAGGACTTGTGCACTGAGGATTCCAATTACTTAATTATGAATGTAGATAGTTCATCCATTCCGGAAATTGTAGACGTAAGGAGAGCACCGAACATTGGTAGGAAACGCAACTTGGGTTGAAGAACAAACTAAATTTTACAGCGTAAAAAATGTTCTTCTATACATCGGTTTATGTCATGGTCGATGCTTCAACTGCATATTTTAGTATTTTCAAAATCATTATTTATATATTTGAACTTAAGTTTCAAATTTGGCCACTCCTTGAAAAATAGCCCTGTATTTTTTTCCTGCTAAACTTGTGACGTTCTTGCATGCGACACCAAATTTAGATTCAGATAAATACAGAACATCATACATACATAAGTACATGCAAAATGCTTTGTAATATTGTACATTACATATTGTACATATTGTATAATGCAATATATTAAACATTCTTGTACTTAAGAAAATCTTTTGTTTGTATGTATTGAAGTGTTATTGGGCCAGGTATATAGATCAAAGAACCAATAGCCAATGGGGAAGAAAGGTTCTCGAGTGACAACCTCGTAGTGGTAATCAGAATGTAGGGCGGCCCCAACTAGATGGAGCGACGTCTTAGAAAGAAGATATGCAGGAAGGCGATGGATGCAGGTGTTTTATGCCATTCTTCATGAGAGGCCTATGTTCAGCAGTGCACTTGTGAAGGTCTGTAATGATGATGATGATGACGATGCATGTATTTAGGTGTATAATTTTAAATACGATAAAATTTATCATCAACCGTGTAACTGTAACATAGCTTATTATTTACCGATATAGTATCCCCTATCCCTCAACCTGGTTATAGTGTATATTGAGTTGAGTGAATTTCCACCGAGCTCGTAGAATCCGGACCTCACTGATAGGGTTCCTCTCGCAGCCCTCCCTAGTACTTCGCCAACTGTTTCGAAGAGGGCTTTAGCTGCCTCCATATGCTCTGGTTCCACTCCTGTGTAGTCTATATCCAGAGATATCTCTGAGTCATCTGTGGATTAATTATGAGCGTTAAAAATTTATTGTAAATATATAAAAATGTATGATTCTTTGTTTGCCCATATTCTGATTTAGATAAAAAGTAGCGTGTTGGTATAAGTGCTTGTTCATTTTAACTCGCGTGCGCGGTGGTTAGCGCGGTCACGAAATATCAGACATATAGCATTATATACAAGTGTTCACGTACAAAACGCAGGTGCGGTGGAAGTAGTGAGCAAGCTGGCTACTATCGTGCGCGGAGCGCTCGCGGCAATATCAAACGTATGAAGTTGTTTGTGTGTGTTCACGTCGAACTAGCGGCGGAGCGCGCGATTGACTCGCGACTTCAGGTAAGATCAACAATTTTGAACTTATCGCTACTAACGATCGACCATTCAACCCAATGGACTCGCCTCGCATGATTATTCCCCTCTGCCAGTTCTGTTTCTTTATTAATTTCATGCACACCAATTCTACTTTTTGTCATCTCCCACTTTAGGTAAGAATTTTCGATTAAAAATAAAAGTTCGTCGTCCATGTTTACAACCTCTGGCGGCTAACGTGAATCGTGAACACGAGCGCGTCCAAATAATCGCGCCGTCGCTGCCCCCGTGCCCGCGTGTTCTACTTGAACAAGCACTAAGACTGAAGTGACATCGTAAGAATATCCACTACCCCATATCGTCCCGAGGGTGTCGGAAGAGGCGACAGACGGAAAATGAAACATAATATGATAACAACTCAAAATAATAAAAAAACTGCGGTTGTCAACCCGCTTTGCCAGGCGCGACAACTATGGCCAATCCAATCCACCCTTGAGGCAATCTATGTGAGGCCTAAGTTCAGCAGTGGACTGTAATGGATGGATGTATAGAAGATAATCTACCAGGAGCACATGAGTCGCTGAGAGGTGAAATTATTAAATCAACAGTAACATTACAACTATGCCAAATATCCCCCATATGAGGCAATCTATGTGAAAGGCCTATGTTCAGCAGTGGACTTTAATAGGCTGTAATGGATAGATATATAGAACATAATCTACCGGGAGCACATGACCCACAAAGAGATAAAATTATTAAATCAACAGTAACATTACAACTATGCCAAATATCCCCCATATGAGGCAATCTATGTGAGAGGCCTATGTTGAGCAGTGGACTTTAATAGGCTGTAATGGATGGATGTATAGAACATAATCTACCGGGAGCACATGACCCACTGAGAGATAAAATTATTAAATCAACAGTATCATTACAACTATGCCAAATATCCCCCATATGAGGCAATCTATGTGAGAGGCCTATTTTCAGTAGTGGACTTTAATAGGCTGTAACGGATGGATGTATAGAACATAATCTACCGGGAGCACATGACCCACTGAGAGGTGAAATTATTAAATCAACAGTAACATTACAACTATGGCAAATATCCCCCCGATGAGGCAATCTATGGGGGAGGTCTATGTTCAGCAGTGGACTGTAATGGATGGATGTATAGAAGATAATCTACCAGGAGCACATGACGCGCTGAGAGGTGAAATTATTAAATCAACAGTAAAATTACAACTATGACAAATATCCCACTATGACACAACATCGCATCGCGGTTTAAAAATAGCAGCCCTATTAAAAAATAGAACGTGGGCGATTCACACCGTTGTTTCAAACCGCTCATGATGTGAAACGCCTTATTTTCACTTTTTGCCAATTAATGGAGTCAAGTTATAAATTCAATAAATATTGCATTTACCGTTACCGTTACAGCCTATTAAAGTCCACTGTTGAACTTAGGCTTCCACTTATGGGGGATATTTGCCATAGTTTCCACGCTTGGCAAACGGGTTGACATGCGCAGTTTTTTTAATTTTTAATCGTTATTAGGAAGACGCTGCTGCCTGTCACCTCTTACGACTCACACGGAATGATATGGGTTAGATCGCCACTACACGGACTAAATATTGAATTTAAGAATGTGTAAATGATGTGTCCTAAGCCTAATTCCACTATACATCAGTTGAATCCTAAGCTTTTAAAATATAGTTCTACTGCGTTTACCTTAGTAAAAAATAATAAAGTATGAGCACGTTGTTAATTTGTGTTTGTATTTAATAATAAATAAGTACATTTAACGTGTATGCATTTTTCATCTGTATATATGTATAATCATAATGTCCTCCAGATCAAATTTTGTTCAAAGCGGTCAGTTTTAACGGACTAGCCATCGGCACAGGAGGACAGAATTATAGTGCAAGAGTGTTTGCACAAGCACAAGTGCATTCCCTATACCCTCACATATGCCGGCGAGAGAAGATTTTACATGCTTTACACGCACGGAGGTGAAACACCGTCATCTTCTTGACTATTGAGAATATCTCGACGTAAAAACCCAATAACCGATTTTGAATCGACCCGGAATTCAAACCCAGAACGCCTTCAAACGCCTGTGGCGCTATTCCCTGCCATTTTACGTCTGGCGTAAACAAGATGTTACGACGATAGTTTTGTCATGTTCCATAATCGCTTCTAACGACGCCCTCGGGAAGTAATGTGGTGATGGATTATAGGTAGGAATGGTGACTTACCGTTGTTATTCGTATTCTCGTACATTTTCAGCAGCGCTTGCCTGTCCACTTTACCGTTTACCAATTGAGGAATATTCTCTATGACAATTACCTGTAAAATACAATATGGTTTAAATATTTTTTTATACAAGGAACTAACGAGCACACATTCCACCTAATGGTAAGTTTTTTACGTGGTAGAGCCATGCTGCAGCTATATTAGTAGAGTATAGTTGTAGCACGAATGGGTCGGCTCGACTGAGGAATGACCACTCTCTCATAGAATACCAGCGTAAAATAGCAGCTTAACACTGTTGTGTTTCGTATGGTGAGTATAGAACCGGAGACCCTTTTTACTGGAAAAGAGGCATTCCATCTTAGTCCTCACGGGTGACAACGCACGACGCAAACTAGGATAGATGTAGATGTCTATGGGCCACAGCAACCACTTACCATCAGGTGGATTGTGTGCTCGTTTGTCACCCTATCCTATAAAAAAAAGTGGATACTGTGTTCCAGAGATACCATCATCTATCAGCGATTAAAAATCAAAATTAATGCGTTGTTACGGCTGACAATTAAGATGGAAGGCCTCATTTCCAGTAAAATTCCTTTCGGGTTTTTACGCTGGTATTCTGTGAGAACGTGGTCCTTTCCCGGTCGAGCCGACCGATTCGTGCTGGAGCCATAATACAGCTGCAGATTAGGTATATCAGGTACAAAATATCTGAATATCCAAATCACATAAATGAAGATGAATTTTCACCAAGTGTTGACAATCGAAAGTATAAATCGTATATTACTAAACAATATATTCAAATTTTCTTACGTTTTTTGCAATTTGTAGGTCAGTGTCAGGTTGTATGTTTAACAAAATATGATTCGCGACCGTAACGAGTATGTATTTACAGAATTATTATCATTGTATGGCTATTTCCAGAAAAACTCATTCAAAGGGTTTATATGAACTTAGAGTGTTTTATTGGTGATTTTAATGATAATAATTCTCGCTACGGTCGCGAATCATATTTTATTAACCTGACCCTGACCTGCAAATTCCAAAACACGCAAGAAAATTTGAATTTCGCGGGCCACCCTGGAGCTTTCACCTTAATACTAGACGGATGGACAAAAAATCAGTATATCCGAATTTCAGTCACGGTGCCCAGTCTCAACGGAGTTTATCATCTGCGCCGGACAGTGTATGCGCAAGCACAGGTGCACTCTCTATTCCGTCACTTTCATAGTCCAATGGGACAACGTCTGACATGACTAGAGATTTTACTGAATTAAGTGTTACACTCTAAGCGATAGTTATCAAAGTAGGCAAAATTAAATGCCCTGTTCGACGGCGAGCCATTAGCTTGCGGTAAAGAATACCGCGGCTTTACTCATGGCTCTACGTTGCTGATGCACAAGCGAGCCATACAGTTACCTATTTTTAGAGTGTTTTAAAGCAACGAGTGTTCTGCTAACCTGACTGCCAAGTTTGGCGATTATGGCAAAATTTAGTCCAACTAAAGGCTGTAATAGATGGATTTATGGATGGAACCAAATTTCATATAACGCTAACCGCGAGTTCGATGTTGGCTCACAAAACCGCGGTTTTATGATGATCCACTAACGTTATATCAGTTATACCAGCGATCCACCAAGATCGCAGTAAAGCTCGCTTGGTGATCAGAGCGCTGAATAAGAAACCTTTAAAAATTACATACCTGTGGTAACATATAATGTGTCAATGTATTTTTCAACGCCGCCTCAATATGTTGGGCTGCCAGTCTCGCTTCAGGTTTTAAAGTAACAAAAGCTAGGATTTCTGGGTTGCCATGATCGAGCCCGTAGCAAAGGACGACGCCTGTTTGAAAAATTAAAGAAAAAAATTTGTACACCTAATAGTAAGAAATCGGTCATCGAACCCCAGCCCAGCGTAGTGAGTATGAAATAGCATGGTTTAATGTCCAGTTATTGATTTAAAAAAAATGTGTGTAATTGTGTACACGCGTACGAAGTAAAACTTATTTACGACATATCATTCTTCTTTTATTTTATATTTTACTTATGTAGGTTAAATAATCATGCAGCCCGGCGGTGAAACCTTACAAGAAAGAGTTACAAGACAACGTGACAAAACCGCTACGTCGATAAAGAAGTTTTAACTCAAAATCTATTGAAAATAATATAAAACAGTGTAAGTACTATAATTTAGAGGTTATGGGATAACATTTTTTACTTATTATAAGCCAAGGTTTCATTACAATCCAACTTGGTGGCAAATGGTGATGGAGCCCTAAATAATAAATCGCACTATCTTTAGGGTAACAAAAGCTAATTTACTCTTGTCCTGAAGACACAAAGGTTGTAATCAGACGGATAGACCGACGCGGGCAAATTATTTTACTCCTTTTCCGTACGCATTACGAAAGACGTAGTAAATAATTTGTTCGGACCCGTGGTATATCGACAACAAAGGTGTTGAGTCCCGTCGACCACATTGGTTGCAGTAGAAAGGGAAAAGAGGAAGCTGTGTGTAATTGCTTCGTACAATTTTTTAAGTGCATTCTATAGAATTTTTTTATAGGATAAGGGTGACAAATGAGTAGTCCAGTTTATGGTAAGTGGATGCTGTGGTCCATGGGCATCTAAATCTCTCATCATGCACATAACCTTGAAAACTAAGATATACTCAGATAAACGAAGTCCACCTGATGGTAAGTGAATGCTGTGGCCCATAGATATCTCCATTTATCCTCAATTAAGAATCAAAATGCAGATGTGTTGTCAACCCTGAGGACAAAGGTGAAATACCTCATTTCCAGTAAAAAGGATCTCCGGTTCTCTACACATAAGAAACACAGCAGCATTAAACTGCTACTTTATGCTGGTATTCTCTGAGAGCGTGGTTCTTCCCCGGTTGAGCTGATCCACTCGTGCTACAAACACAATATAGCTGTAGCATATATATATTACCATGTAATTATATAAGAGGAGAATAGCTAGAGGCTAGCTTATCTGGCACCGCCGGCCTCCCTCCCACTAGATGGAGTGACGATATGGCAAGAGATGCAGGAATTCGATGGACGCAGGTGGCTCAGAACCGTGCACCATCGGTGGAATTGTGATGGGCTATAATGATGATGATGATGATGAAAATGCTACATGGTTACCTTTCTCAACTCCCTCAACAGCAGAAACTGCTCTCTCTACTTCCTGCAAATCAACTCTGTGGCCTCTTATTTTAACTTGCGAATCTGTTCTTCCCGCATACAAGACCACTCCCTTATTTAGTACTCCGAAATCTCCTGTACGGTAGAGTCGACCGAAATCTGTGAAGTTTACATCATTTATAAACATTATATATTTAACCGTGTAGTGGCGGTGTAAGAATATTCTCTGGCCCATTACGTCTCGAGGGTGTGGGCCTGAGGCACAGGGGTGAAATACTCTGGGCTGTTATTCTATTACGTCATTTGCGCGGGACAGGAGTATAGTGTGTGCACAAGAACAGGTGCACTCTCTATCTCGTTATTCTCATAGTCCGATAGGATCGTAATCAGACACGACCGTAGAAAGATTAGGCGCAGGATAAACGAGTTTACTTGCTTTCCGAGCCACGGGGATGAAACACCGCCAGTTTCCTTAGCCTGACTCCTACTGAGAATTTATTGACAGGAAACTCCAGTATTCGATGTTGGTCCGACGCGGGATTTGAACCCGGGACCATATAATCGGCAGTCGCCCTTACGACCAGACCAACGAGGTCGGTGTTATATTATATTACAGTGGTAAACGAACTGACTGTCCTGATGACTGCCGCAGCTAATTGATACTTGCAACCAACATCAAACTAAAAATACACATTGTCTACGTACGTACTAAGATAAAATGCATCACAGTTCACAGCCGGAGTTAATGCTGGCTTTATGCTGATTATGAAAAACAATATTAGAGGTGGTAAGACAATCTATTATCTAAATTTTTCTATAGGTTTTGGAGAGTTTTGGCGGGAACTTGAACCGTGGGGGATTGTTGCTCTTGTATTATTATTTAAATAATGGTTTGAAGTGGATTTTGATATGTAAAAGTAGTGTAATTTTGTGTCTGCGCATGTGAACTATTAGTGGAAACGGTGAAACAAGTGCTCTGATGGTGATGTGATTCTCAAGATAAGGTGTCTGTCTGCTTAGGCGCCTTGAGATACCATCGCCAACTGTCAACTGTCTGCTGGCTCAAGTTGCCGTCAAAATCTCCTAAGAGGTGCACAATGTGACGCATCAACATATTGTGAAGCAGTATACTATGAAGGATAATTATAAATATTGTAACTTCAGGCTCAGAAGGGCTAGAACCCAGAGCGGTAAAGCTAGTTTAAAAAAATGTTTTGAAGAAATCGGCTGTTAAAAATTGCTATGAAAAGATTTTCCTATATATATGTAGTTAACTAAATACCCTTCCAAACGTAAGTACAGATTAATGTTTGTTTGTTCGTATTTTATGTGTTGCCATAATATCGTTCATCAGATTGCGCTAGAACTTTGTCAACTTATTACTTCAACTTGCGAGAAGGTTATAGGCATAGTACAATTAACTTACAGTGCGTTACAGTGCGTGGCGACCGTTAGTTATAGTTTAACTACGTACATTTCAATTTCAAGGAATGTAGGTAATTAAACTAGGTAACTTTTCCAAATTTAAAACGATACTTCCATTTCTTCAAGCAAATATATTACGACAACGAAAACATATTATTAAAATGATACTATATTTTAAGATTTTTTTTAAATTATAAGAATAAGAAGCTTTGTATCTACAGTAAACGGATGTATGTAGATGAGATAACATTATGAAGATGATATGAGAATACGGTTTTCTTAAATATGAGTTACCTGGATGAGAAGCGTGCGGATTATCGCAGAACTTCTCTGGCGCCTGTCCTCCGACGTAGCCCAAGGCGAGATTGCTTCCCGCAACCCACACTTCACCTGGTTCTGCTTCACGGACTGGGTTCATTTCCTCATCCAGAAGATATATTACACAATTATCTACGGGCTTTCCTAAAATACAAAAAGACTGTTAAATAAACAAAATGTCAAAATTTATAGACTGTTGATAATAAATGTTAATAAAAAAAGAAATATTCCTATCGTAAATCATAAAATATCATTTCATAAGAATACGAATAAAAATATGGCTCGTTGTGTAAAACAAAAAAAGTTAGTGATGTCGCTTTTTTACTATTGCACGCCTCATAACGAAGATGTAAAAATCATAACCGGTCAAAATCAGTTTTGACTGCGAAAATCAGGCAAAAATGGTTTTGACCGATGCCCTTGACAAAAACATTTTTGACTGATTCTTGTAGTAAAAAGTGTTTTTGCCTCATTTAAAGTTCAGAATATCGGTCAAAACTCGCAATTTCTGTGACAGTAGGTTAAGGTGCGACTGAAATGACCCTTAAGCCACCCAAAGCTGCGTACATTATAATGATATAAAATATAATATTCAAAGAATTGAACTTTTTAATTTTAAAAACTCAAAAACTATAAGTCAAAAGTAGTTTTGACTTACCTTCTTGGTCAAAACTACTTTCGACCGATATAATTTTGTCAAAATCACTATTATCCATAAAGTGGTTTTGACCAACGTCCTTAGTCAAAACTACTTTTGCCTGATTTTTGCAGTCAAAAGTGGCTTCGACCGGTAATGAGTTTTGACTGTAAAGTATAATTTAGCGATGTTAAAAAAAACTTACCGATTGGAATGGTGGGATGAATATTTAGTTGCTCGGATCTTTCTAGAACGTAGAACGTCACATCGCCCATGACCTCCGTGCTTCCATAGAAGTTAGCCAATTTGTAACCGTCGTTATCGCCAAAATATTGGAAGAACTGCGCTGCGAGGTCCTTGCCTAACGCCTCACCAGAACAGACCCAAAGCTTAAGACGCTGCAAAAGCCTCTCGCCAGGATTTAATGAAAGATACATTAGTATGGAGCGAAGTAATGTAGGCACCAGCAGTAATCGCTGCACCTGAAATAAAATTAAAAAAAAACATGTGTACAGTTCACACGCGGTAGAAGTGAACCCTTCAGAAAAGGCTGCGAAACACCGCACAAAGAGGAGACAGAGATAATAGGAAATAGGAAACACTGTATACTGTATTCTATCTTATTCTCCCGCAGGCTAAATCCTATAGATGTATGTATATGTTTGTCTCTTTTTAGTGTCACTTTTTAGTTTCATCGAGTCTCTAATTACAACGATTTTAAAACAGCTCTCCACGTTGGCCAACATTGTGGTGGATGTTGTGACAAAGATATTAGCCAAGAGTTTGTGCTGACGTACATACGTTGGAAGGTCGTTCAGTTTGCTTCGATTCAGGCCATTGTGCGGACGAATTTATTAAAAAGGATATTGAGGCGCTAACGGCTGCTGCGATTTATTTATTCAATACTAGCTGTTCCCTGCGTTTTCGCCCACGTGGAATTATTTGGCAAATATTGACATTAATATTTATACGATACTAAAGTCACTCAATTGTTTTGCCTTCCCGGAACCCCTCCACTAACACTTAAACTTTATGGTATAGTATTAAAGTTCAAATTGACTTTTAAGTATTATTACGAATCTTTTGTATGGGAATATAGAGAAGTGTTGTTTTTAGACCTATTCAGGCAATTTTTTTAATTTTTCTCTCCGTAAGAGCCATCTTCGTACTTCAAGGAATATTATAAAAAAAAATTGGCGAAATCGGTTCAGCTGCTCTCGAAAATTGCGCTTAGCAACACATTCAGCGATTCATTTTTATATTATAGATTACTACGTGAATGTGTATAAAAAAGGGTGTTCAAAAAGAAATGGAAATAAAGAAATTTAGTTTCTTGGGTTCAACAAACAATTTTCGGCTTGGCAGAGCTCTAAACGAAAAATTTTTTCATTGGTAATTGTTACTGCCATTTTGTAGACACTAGTTACGACGCGTGAATACAAAATTTAAATTAGGTGCGTGCGATCACTCTGGGAGCTCGTAGCAAACATAGATTACTGGTAGCAAACTAAACGCGCACCGCACCCAACATGTGAAGCGTGGACGTGGTTGCCATAAGGCCCGCCACATACATACGGAATTCCGTTTCGAGATTCCGTTTCGGAATTCCGAACGGGTCGGCCACACAGATACGAAATCCCGTTTTGCCCGCAAAATTTCGAACGGAAAACTACCGTGCGTGTGTGACGGGCTATAGATTTTATATGAACTTGCTGCGTTCGGAATCTCGAATCGGAATATCGAAACGGAATCCCGAAACGGAATTCCGTATGTATGTGGCGGGCCTAACTCTCTACCACAACCTTGTGATCTTTTGTAAAAAACCGACACCGCACGGATCTCGCGCCAACTTGTGGGACAACATTCCAATAGTTCGCACATCCGCTCTACGTGATGGCCAAAGGATTTGGCTACAACATTCGCCACAAAGTTGGCCAACGTGAAGAGCCGCCTTAATCCAAAAAAACGCACAAATTCGAACAAACATATATATCTAAACATTTTGAGTTCGTTAGTACGTACGTTAGTACGTTAGAAAACTTTTTCGCCTCGCTCAGAAATGAGAGGAGCTGGACCTGGAGGCCTTTGTCCAGCAGTAGGGCGTATGTATATAGGCTGTACTTAAACTTTTTTCTTTTAAAATAGGTAACGTTACCCGCACAATAGGATTTTCTCCTGTGTCGCGGAGGCAGTTTACATCCATAAGTTGCACAAGGACGAACATTCAGATCAGGAATAATTATTTGTAGGCCATACAAATAATGTGTAGTGGCGGTGTTCAATTCGACTGTATGTTTTTTTATGTGTTACCTCATAACTTTTTGCTTAGTGATCCGTTTTCGATGATTCTTTTTTTGTTTGAAAGCTCGTGCTTTTCATGTAGTCCCATATAAATTTGATCAAGGTCTGACCGATAGTTTTTGAGTTATCCTTAATAATTTATATTGAAGTCGGTTGTACAATTTTTTTTTAATTTTACCTCTTGTATTCCTGAAACTACCCGATACAGCCTATATACGTACCACAGCTGATCACAGGTCTCCTCCTCTCATTTTTGAGAGGGTTCTAAGATAAGGAAAAGTCCGTCGCGCTGCCGCAATGAGTGTTGCCGAAATTCATATGTGTCTTCGAAATATTCCTTTTTCTAATGTGTGTGAATGTAAAAATAAAATTCATACAATTACATCAAAGACAGCTTTACTTAGTAAATACGTTTTCGGTATACTATCTAAAATCTACAATAAGGTTCCATCTATTTTTTTTTCTTTTTTAAAAACGTTACCCCCACACTAGGATTTTCTCCTGTGTCGTGGAGGCAGTTTACAAACATAAATTGCACAAGGACAAACATCCAGACCCGGAACAATTATTTGTAGGCCATACAAATACTTGTTCCGTGCGGGATTCGAACCCGCAGCTCCCAGCGCAACAACTGATTGCTAAGCCACTGCGCCACGGAGCCGTCTATGTTTCATGAAATGGAAAATATTCAAAAATTTAAAAAAGAATTTAAAACATTTCTAATTGAGAAATGCTACTACTCAATTGATGAATATTTAAGCGACGCATCAGTAGGCATATTATAATGGCATTGCATAAAATATAATTTTTTGACATTCGATTTTTTTTATGTCAAAAAATTCGATATGTTCGATCTAATTAATAATTACATCATTGTTGAATATTCTAATATAAATGTGATATAAATAAAATAATGAAATAATTTAAATGTGGAAATAGATATAATTGTAGTTATAATATTTGTACACCTACGGGTTGAATGCAGCGAACATCATTTTTTTTTAAGATCTATTCTGTCTGTTACCTGTATTCACAAATAAATAAAATTTGAATTTAAATTTGAATTCTACCGACTTCAAAAAGGAGCCTGGTGCTTCACATGTGGTCCCATATAAATTCATCATGATCAAGGTCTGGCCTATAGTTTTTGAGTTATTTTTAATAATTTATATTGAAGTCGGTTGTACAAAATTTTTAATTTTAAATTATCTTATTTACTTTTTTATTGTAATTTTGGCTATTATCAGGAAGATCCTGCTGCCCATCTCCTGCCTGTTTCCCTTTGTCGCCTTTTACGACACCCACGGGAGGATATGGGGTAGTGGATATTCTTGACCGCCACTACACGGCTTAGTGATCACAAATCCATTTTTTAATTTAAACTTTAAATCTAGTATGTAATATATGTCTTTAAAATCCATAAATTAATTTACCTAAAAACTAAAACAACATTTTTTCAAACAACGTTTACGAACCTCATTCTCAGCTAGTACCCGCACCAACTTCTGCGGGTCTCTTGTGGTCTCCCGCGGGAGGATCAACAGTGTCCTTCCATGCAATAAAGGTCCCCATATCTCACAGACTGAGTCGACAAAGGTCAGCGTAGTCTTCCACACGCAAGTCCTCTCTGTTTTGGAGTAAGGAAATGTGTGGAACTGCCACCAGAGGCGGTTGCAAATTGCAGAGTATGGAAGACGGACGCCTGAAAAATAAGGTGTGGGTTAACGAATAATTAAGAAACAATAAATTTGTAGATTTTCCATCGTTGAAAAAATAGGTTGACCCAATTATCTGTAAATAGATTGAAGAAGGCTCCAAATATATGTCTCTAGAGACTGGAACAAGGTATTTAATGACTGTGTCCCAGTGGCTAGTGTAACAATGTACCTACTAAGTCAAAAGTGCGGAGTTTAAATTTTTTGAAAACTAACAGTTGTGTACTTTTTTTATAGAATAAAGGTGACAAACAAGCACATAGTTCACTTTATGGTAAGTGGATGCTGTGGCCCATGAACATCTACATTTTTTCTCGATTAGCTGTTCCCCGCGACTTGTCAGCTAGTCGAGAATAGAGAATATTGTCGATTAAGAATCAAAATGCAGATGCGTTATCATGGAGATAACCTTGAACACTAAGATGAAGTGCCTCGTCTACGGTACGGTACATTTAGCATACGACACATTTAACGCTGGTATTCTGTGAGACTATTATTACTAATATTATTCTAATTTTCGTTATCCGTGGTCCGAGTAGACCGCTGCACATTGGACTCTGTCTATCCCACGGGGATCGCAGGCGTGACGCGTTGTATATAATGTAATTATGTAATCATGTGTAAATGTTAACCAATTCCTTTCTTCTTACAATTAAAAATTTCGCGAAAACTAACCTTTTGGGATGCCGGTGCTCCCTGAAGTGTATAGGACAATAGCAATGCTGTTAGCAGTAGGCTGCAGCAGTATCTCCATGTCACTTGGCTTGTCGCCTGGTAAGCCACTGGCTTCTGAAGATAACTCTTCGAAGGATATCGCTGGTACTCCACTGCCGGAGAACATTGCAGGATTTGCTGTAAAAGATTTATTTGCAGAAAATATTAATTTGTGAGACGATATTGTATACTATTATTTAATCTGTGGTTGTAACCAGTATTGAGAAACGGATGCTTCTGTTATCCTCCGTATGTTTTCAATTGTTTCAGAAGAAGAGAAACTTGTAGACTGACTCAGAGCTTCCTCATTAAGCCAACGGTTATTCTCAGTTCTATAATTTAGTATGGGTTGGTGCGTTATGCGCATAGATTAGTAATCTATGGTTATGCGTGTTTATGATTCACGTTTGTTAAAATGATAAAAATTAAAGAGTATTCTAAATTCAAATAAGTTATATTTACATTATTAATTAATGGAGCAGCGATAGCTCACGAGCTCTCCCCCCGACTAAATTAATTAAATTGTTAATTTAATTTTTTATTTATTTTTTGAATTGGGAATAGAATGGAAATTCCTTAAGACTTTATTATTCCTATTTATTATTTATACTAGTAGTATTGCAGCACAACGCTGACATAAGGAATATATATCTACAAATAATAAAACAATAATAAGTCTTCATAAAAACTGACATCAAAAACCAAAAAGTACAATAATTCCCTAATAGCCTCTGAAGCCAGTGCTAAGACATAATAATATGAAGAATTCAAACCCTGACTGCAGAAGCTATTATTTGGAAATTATATTATTCTTTTTAGTATTTAGTCGGCTTTTACCTTTTATGAAAACTTAGGAATAATATAACAACTCGGAACGTCGTTTAAAAATTTATATAAAACTGCATTTCCAATTTTTCCTCACAAAGGGTTGGAGTTTTGTTTTGAAATATTTATGAGGCCACCTCTAAAGTATAATATATTTAATTAAAAAAGTATAATTAATTGATTAAGCCGTTTCTGACAAAATCCATGACATATAATACACGTTGATTAACTAATCTCCTCCTTTTTGAAATCTGTTAAAAAAACTGTTTTCTTAAAATTATGTATGGAATAAACATACCAGTGTTATCATAAATAACGAGAGATGGCTCAGCGTCTTTCAGTATGTGTGTGATCCTCGCTTGAGGAAAATTAGGTTCCATAGGCACGTAAGCTGCTCCGGCCTTCCATGTGGCTAACAAAGCCATTATAGTGCTGAAATTTACAAAATTATTTTAAACGGATCCATCATTGGCAGAGTCTTGCGCTTTACAGTCTTCGGCTATATCACCACTTACTATCCAGTGGAAAGAAAGAAGAATAGAATAAGGGTGACAAACGCGCACACAGTCCACCTGATGGTAAGTGGAAGCTGTGGCCCGCAGGCTGAAGGCTGTCTGAAATGTATAGGAGAACCAGTATACAGGCATTAAGTGACAACGCATCTGAAGCCTGTAGCCAAGGTCAATTGCAGATGTCCATGGAAGTAGCCAAAAGCACTATTATTTTTTATAAGATAAGGGTGACAAATGAGCACACAGTCCACCTGATGGTAAGTGGTTGCTGCGGCCCATAGACATCTACATCTATCCTCTATTACAAATCGAAATGCAGATGCGTTTTCACCCGTGAGGACTAAGATAGAATGCCTCTAGTAATAAGGGTCTCCGGTTCTCTACACTCAACATTCGAAACACAGCAGCGTTAAGCTGCTATTTTACGCAGGTATTCTGTGAGAGCGTGGTCCTTTCCCGGTCGAGCTGACCCATTCGTGCTACAAATATACTACTAGTATAGCTGCAGCATGACTCTACCACGTAAAAAAATCTATATTTATCCTCAATTAAGAATCAAAATGCAAATGGGTTATCACCCTTAAGAAGTAAGATGGAATGCCTCGTTTCGAGTAAAAAGGGTCTCCGGTTCTCTACACTCATCATAGATAGATAGATATCCTCATCGGTTGTCACCTCTTCAAGCTATATGGCCGGCCCATTGCCACTTCAGCTTACTAATCCGTTGGGCAATGTCGGTCACTCTAGTTCGACTGGGGATATTCTCATTTCGAAGTTTATCACGCAGATAAACCCCGAGTATAGCCCTCTCCATAGCTCGCTGAGCGACCTTGAGCTTCCTCATACGGCCAGCAGTAAAGGACGCGTACACCTGACGAGAAGATGTGTCCTAATTTCCCGAACGCTGCCCAGCGGAGTTGAATCAGTAAATTGACCTCTCGGTCGAAGTTGGACTTACCTAGTTGGACTATTTGTCCCAGGTATACATACTCGCAAGTATGTAAGGATCGTAACAAGTGGAATGAAGTGGTCTCTGCCTACCCCTACGTGAAAGAGGCGTGATTATATGTATGTAAACATACTCGTCAACAAGTACGAGCTTAGTGTTCCCAACAACTACCGGCATAGGTGTGACATGTACGTTATACATGATCTTTGTTTTGTCCATATTCATCTTAAGTCCTATCCGTTGGGAGGCACTATTGAGGTCATTGAGCATAGTGCTTAGGTCCTCCAGCGATTCTGACGTAAGGACTATATCGTCGGCAAATCGAAGGTGAGTGATGTACTCGCCGTTCAATTACCTATATGTACTATGTCATGCTGTAAGTTTTTTATAAATAAAAAATATGGTATGATCGGTTTTTCACGCCGTCACCAAACAGCTAAAAACTCGGACGTAAACAATGATTTTAAAAATGTTAGGATTATAAATGAAGCCATATAGGATAAGGTACTTACTTATGTGTAGGCTGCATACACACGGCGATTATGAAGTCTCCATCTCTGTTCGGCCCGATGGGTCTTGCGTGCGCTGCAATAGCTCTGCCCAGTGCGTTGGTGCGGGCTTGGAGCTCTGCATAGCTGACGCGAACGCTACCAGTTTCATCTGGAGATCAAGCGGCTTGTTAAACAATACCGTTAGGTATGTGGCCTAACATTCGAAGCTACACCAATATTTATATTCTGTGAAAGTTATTGTACTTAACTAGTTTGGTAATTTTTACACTTTGTTTGAAATTTACTTTTCTTATATTAAAACTGAACTGCAAATGAACTAACACGTGGTAGAGCCATGCTGCAGCTATATTAGTAGTATAGTTGTAGCACGAATAGGTCGGCTCGAACGGGGAAGGACCACACAGAATACCAGTGTAAAATACCAGCTTAACACTGCTGTGTTTCGTATGGTCAGTGTAGAGAATCGGAGACCCTTTTTACTGGAAAAGAGGTATTCCATCTTAGTCTTAGATGACAACGCATCTGTATTTTGATTCGCAAACGAGGATAGATGTAGATGTCTATGGGCCACAGCAACCATCAGGTGGACTGTGTGCTCGTTTGTCACCCTATCCTATAAAAAAACAGTGCTTTTGACGGTAAGTCGCTACTTCCACGGACATCTGCAATTGACCTTGGCTACAGGCTACAGATGCGTTGTCACTGCATGCCTGTATACTGGTTCTCCTATATCCTTCAGACCGGATCACGGCAGTGCAGGCACCTTTTTTTGCTGGCAGAAATAGGTTAGAAGGTGGTATACATTTAGGCAGATTCTTAGACAAGAAGGAAGGCCTACCACCTACCTACCTAGTAAATTATAATACCTAGGAAATATTAATAATTCTAAGTATTTATTTTATACAATAAGGGTGACAAACAAGCACACAGTTCACCTGATGGTAAGTGGATGCTGTGGCCCATAGACATCTACATCTATCCTCATTTAGGATCAAAATGCAGATGCGTTGTCACCCGTGAGGACGAAGATGGAATGCTTCATTTCACAACACACAGCACCCGTACTTCTATAGAAATACTGGAACTGCACGCTGCAGCTATATTATGGCGGTAGCACGAATGGGTAGGTTTGAACGAGGAAGGACCACGCTCTCACAGAATACCAGCGTGAATTAGCAGCTTAATGCTGCTGTGTTTCATGTGGTGAGTGTAGAGAACCGGACACCCTTTATACTGGAAACGAGGCAATCCGTCTTAGTACTCAGGGGTATCAACGCATCTGCATTTTAATTATTAATAGAGAAAAGATGTACACGTCTATGTGCCACAGTATTAATTTTCCATCAGGTGGAATGTGTGCTCGTTTGACTACATTATTCTATAAAAAATTACTGTTATTTTGTGCAGTGATCCTTCATATCCTAGTTTTTTTACTGTATTAAAACTCTCACCCGAAAAGACCAAAGCCGTGGCATCTCTTCCAGTCAAACTCTCCAAGTGCTTGGTGAGAGGAGCGGCTGGCACTGGTACCCTAGCACCGGTCACGACCGACAAGCGGGGCAATGATCCCATTGTGCCTGAAATAGAACGTTAAATTAATAAAATAAATAAAATAAAATAGCGTAAAATAACAGCTTAACACTGCTGTGTTCCGTATGGTGAGTGTAAAGAACCGCAGATCCATTTTACTGGAAAAGAGGCATTCCATCTTAGTCCTCACGGGTGACAACGCATCTGCATTTTGATTCGCAAACGAGGATAAATGTAGATGTCTATGGGCCACAGTAACCACTTACCATCAGGTGGACTGTGTGCTCGTTTGTCACCCTATCCTATAAAAAAAATATAACAAAATACGTACATATACCAAAAGATCGCCTTCGCCTCCGGTGGCTCGATCATTTAGAACGAGAGTATCGAGTTTAAAGAGAGCATATAACAATATTCTGTAAGGCCACACTATGCCTGCCACAGGTCTAAGCGACCTGTTCCTGCTGCAACCTGTACAGCTGCAATGCAGCTTTACAAATTACAAAAATATCTACTATACTATATAAGCCTTAATACTAGGCAGATAGACAAGTAGTAAAGTAGTAGGTGGTGGTGTAAGTAGGTGTGTGCAGGTAGCTCTGGATCGTGTTTTGTAAATAATATCCTTCTACTATCCTATACTCTATATCCTAGACCGAATTTAAATGTCGGTGGCCTATTGAGCTGACAGTTTTATAGTGCACGTATGTGGACTCATATGCCGATGGGACGGCAATTCGACGCGATCGAAGATAGATCAGATCAGACGCAGGAGCAATCGCTTTACTCATTATAGGTTTCAAATGATCTTTGGTAAACTCCAAATAGCGCTTTGGAAAGCAACTGTTTACCGCTGATATAACAAATTTTAAGAGATGAGAGAATGAAGATGAAGAGAAACTTTGAGAGATGAAGAAAGAAGTAGTAGTTCTTTGACGGCCGTTACGGAAGATTACGAGTTAGCAGTGAAACCATAGAAATTTCTAGAATATTCTTGACTCTCTTAGTTCTGCTACTCGATACTAGAGGGCGCTAGTGGTAACTAGTGTCGCCATGTACCATGTATTAATTGTGGCGCGCAACAATATTTTACTGAATAGGCGGATTAGGTACGTAGAGATTCATCACATATTGCATATTGTATCGTGAAGCGCTTACAAGATTTAACTAGAACATCGTCGCGTGAGAAGAATAGTTTCGTGTTGGGTGTGTTCGGTGAGGTCAGAAGCAGACCCGCTTGGAATGGTGACATGACATTATCACTATTGTAAATATATTTTAATCAGGCTCTCAAGGCGTGTTTACGTCACTATTACAGTTTATTTATAAATACGATCTAGAAAGGAAGCGCCAGTTCAAAATGAATCAACGCCTGCTAAAGAGAAGCGATCGAAAAGCGTAGGGGTTATGTTCGCTTGTATTTTAATGGTTTCAAATTTAGGGGACCCTCCTGGCAGCACTGATTTCGCAACGTATAATTTCTTTTTTATTAAAAAAGAATAAAAAAACCTGCTGAAGGAGGCGCTGGCAGCGTAACAGGCCGTAGAATTGGCTGAGGCGGACCGGAAAAAGTGTTTCGAAAATTGAGTCAGAAACATGAAACTTGTATAAATGATGGTATAAATGAGTACTTTCCTTCACAGCCTATCAAAAGCCGACTGCTATAGTTGCCACGCTTCGCAAACGGGTTGGCAACCTTAGTTATATTTATTCAGATGTTATTAGGAAGATGCTTCTGACCATCTCTTGGTTCAGTTTCCCTCTGTGGCCTCTTACGACACCCACGGCATGTTATTGGGTTGTGGATATTCTTACACCGCCACTACACGGTGAGGTCTTTGAAAATATTTAATAGTAAGAACTTAAAGTTTAACCATAGAAAATATATTTATTTCGCAAAACTTTCTGAGTTGCCTACATATACATTTTGGTGATCACTCTTTGAGTTCTCTATTAGATTATAAAATGGTTATTGGTCCATTCACTCTCAATTTCACTTGACATTGACTGCGGACCAATTTGAACCATAGAGCGAGTAAGCAAAAGACAGATCTTGAAATTTATATCGAGAGGTTCATCATATTGTGTAGGTACTAATTTTTACCTGTTAATTAGACTTTCGTAATAATTGATATAGAATGATAATGAAATAAAATAGAGATAAGAAATAGAGATGACTGACTAAAATCTATGCAATTATAATATGCACGGTTTTGCCAGTAATATAAAGAAAACAATAATTTAAAACTAAAAATTTTGTGCAACCGAATTCAATATAAATTATTAAGGATAACTCAAAAACTATTAGTCAGACCTTGATCGAATTTGTATGGGACCACATGTGAAGCACCAGCTTTTTACCAGCTTTCAAATAAAAAAGAATCATCGAAATCGACTCACCCAGTAAAAAGTTATGAGGTAACACACATTAAAAAAAACATACAGTCAAATTGAGTACCGTCTCCTTTTTGAAGTCGGTAGAAAATAAGGTAAAGACGCAATATTTCGCTTTTCGAGAAGTGTTAGAATAGATTGTATTCATCCTAAAAAATACTGCAGTTTTTTTTATTTACGCCTGGTCTTAATCATATAGCAATTTTTAATTAATACATTTTAAGTATGATTAAAAAATATACAAACTCAAAGTAAAAGGCTCAGTGACTCTATCATTCTTACATGCCTACATACTCCCTAGACAGAAAAGGGAGTATAGTATAGCGCGTCGAGCTTACAATGCTCTGCGCGCACAGTATACGCTTTCAGGATGTTGTTGCGGCTGCCATGGCGTTGCAGTGCGTCCGGTATGTTTGCGCAAGCGCGTACTGACACTTTCCCAGCGATCATTCGGAAGAAAACAGCCTTACTCTTTCAATGCTTACGAAATAGTAATAACAGCATCCTTACAGCGATATCTGTAAGATATAACTGTCCCATATTGAATCACTGGGCGGGCATAGTCATAAAAATAATAACATAGTATCCACTTAATATTGTTACTAACAACCTTACTAACAATATATGGACCATGGTCTGAAATAAAATTATTATTATTGAATAAAACTACTTTTACGGATTCGTTTCGGTTACTTTACAGCACCCATGGTCACGGAGGACTGAGTTGATTGACGTCCCAATGTCAGAGTTAAGCCGGAGTACCTTCAGCTTTTTTAATTATTAATTTTGGTCCAATCTAAGCAGAATGAACTTACTGTGTCTTGAAGAATCCGTAAGAGTACATAGTTAAATCATTATTATTATTATTGTTATAGATTTGGTGGGCAAATCTTTTCTTAGGCACACACGCAGAGTTCACGCTCGAATTTGTGTGCCCTATCCACTTTTTATAAACACAAGCAGCGGCAGGGAAGTCTATGCTATATCTGTGATATGTTATATTATATCATTGCATGCACAGCTCTGGTCCAGTCTGAAGAGTATAGAGAACAGTATAATTACAGCGTTTCATCTTAGTCATCGGAGGTGACAAAGCATTATTTGGAGTTGGTTCCAGATGTACATGGACTGCAATAGCCACTTACGATTAAGTAGGTAGTGTTTTTTAGTATAAGACAAGCGAGCACACAACCTAGCGATGGTAATTGAATGCTGTGGCCGACATCGACATCTATCCTCGAATAAGAATCGAAATGCAAATGCGTTGTCACCCCTGAGGACTAAAATGGAATGCCTCGTATCCAGCCAAAAGGGTCTCCGGTTCTCTACATTCACCATACGAAACACAGCAGTGTTAAGGTGCTATTTTACGCTGGTATGCTGTGAGAGCGTGGTCCTTCCCCGGTCGAGCCGACCCATTCGTGCTACAACTATACTATACTGTAAGACTGTAAAGCTATAAGTTCGTTTGTCCTTTCAGTTTTATATAAAAAAGAAATTAGTAATAAAAATAATTATGTTCTTATTCGAGAGTGACAGTTTCAAAGGCTATGTAAACCTAATTGAGTCTTCCAAGAAATCTGTCCTTAGATATTAGAGACGTCTTAGCGGTGAGTGGATATTTTATTGAGTGATTTGTTTGAATTGTTAGTCAATAGACGGGCCCCATTTAACTGCTATACAGTTCGAAAGAAGCTAGCTGGGACTATGACGACGTATTGACAGCGAAAATATTTTATTTTCCTTTTAACCGATAAGTGAGATTTAGTAGATTAGAGGCCACAAATTTTTTAGATTCAAATCATGATCCGTAAGTCGTTAAATAACAAGATTCCACTACTGTCGAGATCAAAAATACTTATACTCTTATATGCAATTTCGATCTACACCTTGGTGCAGGTTGCAAAATTACCATTCACACTAGGAACAAACACAAGCTAGTGATACCAGTCTCTCGACTCCGCAGAGTCAGTAATTCATTCTTGGGGCAATGTATACGCTATTACAACATAGCCCCAGAAAATATACAAGGTCTCTCTATTATCAAGTTTAAATATTAAATTAAACAAAAACTGTATAAAAAGGGTTATTATAATATAAATGAATACATGGTTGATAATAATCCCTGGGAATGAGGTGGGCGCTTCCAAGCTGTTTCTAAAATAAATTTTGTAAATAGTTTGTAACAATTTATATTGTAAAATTTTTTTATTTAAAAAAAACTCCCGCGTGGTTTCTCGCTGGTTCTTACCAGGACAGAGGATTTTTTTCGAACCAGTGGTAATGTAAAAAAATGACTTTCATAAAGAATTACTTGTAATCAATATTGAATAAAAAAATATTCTACTATTTTTCATCCCTAGTGTGTGTTGGTGGACTGTGGCGAGAGGATCGTCCTCTCCCTAAGGTAAGTCGGTTACCCGGAAAGCCGCTGCAGTTGAGGTGGAGTCGCGGGGGAGTGTTGGTATGAGAAGGCATCACTCGCCCTGTGCTCGCGACTCTGGTGGAGCCGCACCGTTGATGCGGTGGTGGTGGGCCCGCGGGGAGAGACGAGCTTCTGTCATTACCGAGAGTTTTGAGTAAGGAACAGACCACCGCGCTGCGTGTTGGGGACTTTATCATAACTTGAGTTGAATCCAAATGAATAG